TCATCTTTGACAGCGCAATTCCCTTTTTTTCCTTTAGGTAGGCAATTTTTTCGTCACCTTCTCAAAAGATCTGCCAGCGCCATGTAGTGCAGTGATGGGCTCAGTATTGTTTCTTTTCGCATCCGTCAAACGCTCGAACGAGATCGCCTCCGCGGAGCTCCACTTCATACTATAACTCTAGTCAAGTGTTTAATATTTCGATGCGATGGGGTGTTCCGTAAACCTTTGAGAGCAACCTGACGCTAGAATCGCAAAGAAAATGCTCCAGAAAATTTCGCAACATCATCCAAATGAGGTTTTGAAAAAGAAAAATCCCAATCATCAGGCTAAATCTCCCTAATAAATCATGGCAACATTGAAAAGGGATCAAGAAAGCCTTCTTCACTTAAAATGCAATAGTACGGGCCCTGCACAAGTGTGTGATAGATCGAAGTCAATAAACCTCGCGCAACACATACCTAATAACTTTAGGCAAGATAATATAAGAAAATTGAGGAAGAACTGGGGAAAGGAGGTTATCCTGTTCATTTGGTCAGCATTTTCTTACTTTGGTTAAAAGTTGTAGAATCCTAAAACAAACGGAAGTATGATTTGAATTCATTATAACATCGATGGATTGAAATTAAGAGGCACAGTTGCGAAAGTGCATCATATAGCAACATTGGACTGGCCCGATCATACTGCTCCAGTTTCCCCATTAGCAGTTGTGACGATGTTAAAGCTGGCACGAATGCTATGTGATGGAAATCCCATAACAGTCCACTGTTCTGCTGGAATTGGAAGAACAGCTACTTTCGTAGGTACATTACAGCATCCATCAAAATACCCTAATTCTTCCAAAAAACTTGTCTCTAAAAAAATTCAGGTATCGATTATGCTAGTCAGAAAATTAGGAAAGACGGAAACATATCAATGACGGATGTTCTCAAAGAACTAAGACATCAACGATTACATGCGATACAGTCACCAATACAGTACACTTTTCTTCATATATGTATCCTTGAAATGTTTCTAGAAGTGAGTT